TTCTTCTTAATCTGCTAAGTTCGAAACGCTAAAATGCTAAAATCCAAACTGCACTGATTTTTCCCTGACACGCATTTCAGTTTTTATAAAATGAACAAAAAAATTAAGCATGAATCTCTCTTATATACGCTTCAAGCAAGCAGCTTAACGGTGTCTAAGAAACAAAAAATTCTCATAAAGACAGGGAAGCTACTGAATATACATCGCTCATAGAGGTTTCCCGAGGGTCATGACCTTGAAACAAGACTGGAAAAATGATTGATATTCCTACCAAAACGATTGATCCACACATTCTTGCCAGGTTTCAAATAATAGATGAAGCCGCTGATGTTTGAAGAACGTTTCGATGTCGGTTTTCCTATTTTAAGACTTAGTAGGGTACAGAGATCTTCGAACGATCACCTCCTTCTATAGGTGCATTCATATTCCCATAATGTTGAGAAATAATTAAGGTCACTGATCAATAATATCGGAGAATCAATGCAGTTATTATTGTAGAAGTACTGCGTAGAAATTCAAAGTATACAATACTAGACGCTGTTTTAAGCTTTATACGCTTAATGACGTGGTTTCTATAACACCTAGAAAATATTAATCTCTAAAACCTCGCATCAAATAACATCACTTAAACTGATCTAATATGTGTTGCAAAGTCCTTAAAGTTACAAGCTATTGCTGTAACAAATTCTTACCAAACTATCGGGGTACCCGGTAAATACTGGTACTGCTAAATATTGCATACCAATTTTTGAAGCATCTCGCTCGTCTAGTAAATTTTTAAGTACTTAAAACTGGTTCATACAGAATTTTGGCAGTGTCTTGACTTTACATGCTCTTTTAAATGTAAATAAACAGAATTTCTCACGGAAAACTTAGAAAAGGATTTTTTGACTGCTTTTAGTGCTAGTAAAAAGCTTTGCTATTTCACAAACAGACTTCTGTACTGTCGAGGACCCGCTGGCAGCATATGCTTTGAAACTTCCATTTGTCTGACTGAGCAAATAGCAGTACATCCTTTCTGATTTTAACTTGGGGAATTTCAACTTTTTGACGGTGCAGTCGCTCGGATATTGATAGTTAACTGTGGTCACGCACATTTTCACCCACATGAAGTTTTGTGTTTATTTTCACCTACAGTCAGCATCGGATAGCCGACTTCACGCTTCATTGAGTGCACATTCCAGTGTCACGTTTTGGAGTCTTAACTAAACTAAATCATGTTGGCAAAATAGAACAACATAAATAATAAGCTTTAGTTTTACTTTGCTTCTATAAAAACACATCTACACAACTATTATAATGGAAATACCGCAAGCTCTCTACACATGGGTTCTAATAGCTGTCATGCTGTGTGTGCAATCGGGGAATACTTGTAAGTGATACTTTTAGTAGGTGGAGTGTTGTTTTATTTATCACTAACTTACCTTCTTTGTAGTGTCGAAATGCCGTGTTGATAATCGTGGCCATGCTCCTTATCGAGTACCAACAGGTCAATCTCCAGTCGTCTATCCTCCCAATGTAAAAATGCAGCCTCCTTATTCTTCTTGCAGATGGGTACCATACACTAATCCAGCAAAGCCACAAACCGAATGTTCCGAAGGTTCACAAAATGTTCTCACATTAGTTATACCTTTGGTTATCCATCCGACATTTGTAACAGCAGCTGGATTAGCTCAGGTTGCGATTAAACGAGTATCGAATCAATCCACGATCATTCAGACCGAACCACTGACGAACCTTCATTTGTCAATAAACTATTTCGATTGTTACAGTGATAGAGAAGTCAAAATTATCCAAGATGTATTAGCCAAATATATCTTTCCGTTCATGACAGTCACATTACAAGGTTCTGGTTGTGATATAGATACCGTCCAAGGATACATAATAGCCTTGGCTACTCAGAACTCATCAGCTGCTTTGTCCAAATTAGCTAGTGGAATTGAGGCAGCTGTGACTGCTGCGGGTGTCACAATCAAACAAAAAAGCGTTGACCGATTTCATATGACATTGGCCACAGTTAACTATCAATATCCGAGCGACTGCACAGTCAAAAAGTTGAAATTCCCCAAGTTAAAATCAGAAAGGATGTACTGCTATTTGCTCAGTCAAACAAATGGAAGTTTCGAAGCATATGCTGCCAGCGGGTCCTCGACAGTACAGAAGTCTGTTTGTGAAACAGAAAAGCTGTTTGGCTAAAAAAGCTATGCGAGCCTATGGACTTTCTTGTTGATTTTATGATGTTCTTGTAGTTGTGACTTTTGCTATAATCGTATCATATTGATAGACGAGACAAGCAGCACCCTTCTGATTCGAACGTGAGATATTTACTACTTTTACTTGTATATGAAGCATAAAGAGAAAAGGCTTGACTACATGCATATTAAAATAAAAGAAATGCGACCTAGCGCGAACAAAAAGCAAGTTCTTTTAACTTAAAATCTTTAACGAAAACTAAAGAAATAGAGAAAGTATAAAAAGTAATCAAACAATAGTTACTTAAAAATTTGCTAGACGAGCGAGATGCGTGAAAAACAGATATGCACCAATACCAGTCTTTACTGGGTACCAGATAGTTTGGTAAGAATTTGCCGCAGCAATATTTTGTAACTTTAAAGACTTTGCAACACATATTTGATACCTATGGAGTTTAAGTGATGTTATTTAATGCGAGGTTTTAGAGATTAATATTTCCTAGGTGTTATAGAAATCACGTCATTAAGCGTATAAAGCTTAAAACAGCGTCTAATATTGTATACCTTGAATTTCTACGCAGTAGTAAGATCGCAGTAGTAAGATCGCTAGCTGAAACATTTCCAAGGGAATGGTTGGATAGAGCTCGAAAAACTGAACATATCTGGACAGTTGGTGAGTTCCAGATCTTGGATAAAAATGGTTTTCTAGAGGTTTTCAAAAACCTATCTACTAAAATTTATATTTTAGTTCCCGTTTCAGTACTTTAAAAGCATGTGATGGAATTTTAAGATATGGTTATCGATAGAGATGAAGAGCTGACCAAACCCAATGGTTTTTGAATGTCTAAAAGAGGATTTTGAACAGATTTTAAAGAGTTTTCGAGAAAACCTCAGGCCAATTTTAGCTGCTTTTCCATTATTATCGATACTTCCGATATTTTGTCTAGTTTTTATTGCATGTGATGCATGGAAATGACTTTATCTTGGTCTTCAACGATTTTCTATGCTTTTCTCGTAGGCTTCTGACGTTTTACTACAATACAGTAGTTTTTTTTTCTGTTCTGTAATGTGTACTGTTTCACAGTTATACATACTTTTTCCTCTTATCAAAGCATCTGACAGCATCAGGATAAATCAATTTGCTCTTTTGTTGCCCTGTCATGTAGTATTGCTTTTGTTTGAATTTCATTCTAACCTTTTACACAGCACGCAGTCTTTCTGCGTAGACACGAAAATCTGAGTCAGAGTAGATTTTCGAAGTTATATTAGCCTTTCAAGTGTAGTTCATTTTGTTATTGTCCGTCCGCAACTGCTGGTTTGCTGCGTAAGTACCAAAAAGATTTATAGATTTGTAGCTCTAAATGCGTTTGAATTTTTAGTGTAAATCATGCCAATAACTTGTTGCGCTCTAGGATGCTCCAAAAAAACAGGGAGACATGAATCGAGGTCGTAAGAAAGTTGCGTTTTACAGTCTACCTTCCGATCAGACTAGTTCGAA